GATAAATCATAGAAACCGAACCATGCTTGTTGCATAACGTGATGGGTTGTTGTATGTGACCGACTGTAAATGTTTGAGTGCACGGAACCTGGACCATTATACCGAAATGAACCATTATGACTGACTGAAGATCTGAGATTCAAGAACAGCTATGTTCTAGCTCTTTTAATGTTCCAACAGGCGGATGGGTAGTCTAGTTTTGAAAGCGTTCCCTCGCACACAGACAGCCCGGGTTCGATTCCCCATGGTTTCACGTGGGAGGTCCATTTTGGTGCCCCGCAATGTTTCTGAATATTACTTATTAAGTCGCGCCAAAACCTTACTCACTCACTTATGGACTTATTTCCTATAATTATGAATGTATTTGAATATCTATGACCTTGTGGATGTTTTACATGTGTTAAAGAAACAGGTTGTACATTTCTGCAAACAAGACTCTAGGAACAATTCAGATGCGTCTACACAGAAATGACAACAATGCCTAAACATTGTTCCATATCAATATTTAAGAGCAACAATTCAGTCTTTCTTCTAAATTTACTTAAATTGATGCTCATTTAGAGTAAAATACATTAAAAGTACGCAATGAATAAAAAAACCACAAGTACACTTATTCATTAGATAATCTTTGGTTCATGATTGGTAATTCTTTAATAATGACGTTTATATTTGCCGTCTATGTTATCTGACATACGAAAGCGTAGAAGGTGAACTGTTTTTATAGCCAGAAGTAGTGTGAGTTTGCTTGCGACTGTTTGGCTAATAATTTGAATTGTAGAGTGTCCTTTGCGACGAACCTTTCACCTTTTATCGATCAACCGGAATCTACGTCATAGTCTTATTCTCGAAATACTTTGTAGAATTGATTACAAGACGCATGAAAGCAGTCCGATAATAGATTCGTACCTACTTCCTATCCGCCTTAGTTCTACAATTGATTAAGTAAAACAGGATTGACATCTACAACAGTCTATTGTATTGGCGTGTTTAAATCTCCCGCAGTTATTCACTTTCAAACGTTGCAAACACCTAGTTGCGGGTACAGCAGCGTGCAGTTAACTTGGATAAAGTACTGTGACTATGTGTCCCAGTCCACCAAGCTGTGAATAGGTACCTCCTAAGGGTGGGAAAGCCATATTAATTCGGTGCGCCTAGTGGCGTCAAGAGTTGTATGATCTTCAGGGAGTTGAGATTGATAAACTAACTAACTAACTAACTAACTAACTAACTAACTAACTAACTAACTAACTAACTAACTAACTAACTAACTAACTAACTAACTAACTAACTAACTAACTAACTAACTAACTAACTAACTAACTAAACTAACTGTTGCTCCTCATGGCCTTGGACTATCGCCTATTCGAAATTCCACAAGTCCTATTTAAGGGATTATCTAGGATTGATACTCTTTGCAAGTTCACACACTGTTTGATGCCAATTGCATTTATGGTATTGTTTTGCTTTCCAATGATATATAATTCAGGTACTATTATTTCTGACGGGGCGGTGGGGTAGCCTAGTGGTTAAAGCGTTTGCTCGTCACGCCGAAGGCCCGGGTTCGATTCCCCACGTGGGTACAATTTGTGAAGCCCATTTCTGGTGTCCCCCGCCTTGATATTGCTGGACTATTGCTAAAAACGGCGTAAAACCATACAGTCAGTCAGTATTATCTATGACAGTACAGCCTGAAATAATTTGCCATAGGTCCCCATTGAAACATCTGCTAACGAACGTCCCGATATGGATTCTGAGGCCGCCAGGATTGTTTGTTGTCCCAGATATGACGGCGGTCAAAGAGCTCACTTACATTCCAATTTGGCGAACACAAAACACAATTCAATATTTGGTCATATATTAGCAGCATGTGTTACTGTTTGTAGTAACTCTAAACACAATGATTCATTAGTCTTCATGTTATAAGACATCATGTGTTGATTCGTTATGCGTTAAATACTGTCTAGAAGTTGGTCACTACCATGCCTACATTTCAGTTCATGTGAACCGGTATCGAACCAGTTCGCCATATTTGTAAAACACTTTTTGTGACACAGAAACAGGAACGACCAAACCATTGTTTTGCCACTGTAGCAGAGTTAAAATGATCTAGCAAGTAGTTTGGATAAATACAAGCTAAAGAAATATCTTACTTGCCTATCAACCCAGCAGTAATGACACAATAAATCTGATAATTGTTCTTTACAAATGCAAAACAAAACGTAAATAACAAAACATGTAGTATATCCTTCCAGATCGTCCATAATGAACATAAGAAGTGTGGATTCCCACTCCAACAGTGGGAATTTAGACAGATTGTTCGTCAATCACGATTTTTGTAACAAGGACATTATTGGTTTCTTTTGTTTGTAAAGTAGTGAAATGCATCAAATGAGAAGATTATAAAAACGAAAACAAAAGAATAATATGTTCAACACATGGACAAAACATCGCTTAATTCAGAACGATAAAACGATGGTTCATTTCAACTGTGTTGAAAATTACACTAATGGATCACTGAAAGCAATGAAGGCACCAGGTACCCTGCTCATTCCAAACTCACGAGACCGTATCCGCAAGTAGAGACATAATTCACACACTCGCATCTTGTATGTTACTCTTCAATAACCACGAGGGATAAAGTTGTAGAATGAAGGTTCAAAATGCATAGAGACACACATCATAACCAAACCAAATCCATTCATAAATAATGTTGGGTTGATTGGTTCCGCCTTCTAGTCAGTAGCATACAGCAAATCAATTCAGAACAACTGAATCTCATCTCTTTGACTCGTCAAACAATGATAACATATCTGATTTAGTAAACCAAGTACCTGAAGTAAATCATATTGTATGAAGCGCAGAGGCCTTTAGTTCCTCATTAGTCTAGAAATGGTTCATTACAACCGGCTTAGTTCATTTATACATAAAGGGTAGTATGGATGGGACAATAAAGGGATTTGCGTCAGAACCTATCCAGTTTTAATCACATATATACCTCCAAATAAAATAAAATGTCCCAACTCTGTTGAAGATACAGACGCTTCAGATCCTACTCAGGACTTCTTTGGAGTGGAATAGGGGGTTAACAAATTCTAGTCATGGGCATCTTGACATTAGTATTGGGAATTTTTATATTTCTTAACATTTGGTGTAAAGCGCTAGGTTTGTGTGGGACATGTGATATAACACCTCTTGTGGGGTTTGAAAATAGGAGAGTCACGACAGGAGTGATGTGGACGAACAGCAGTTTTACGAGTCTAACACAGTGTGCAGTTCGATGTGCTTTGATTCCAACTATCAAAGCCTTTGGGTATAGCCAGAGTGCAGCAAAATGCGTTGCCTACAACATCGTTCTCACGAACCCGGACGTTGTCTCCTAACTGCAGAAAATGGATTCAACATATATTCATCCTGTCCTCCAGGTAATTATGTCATAAATTCTCTTCACAGCATTAGAACAAATAGGTTTCACTTTCCAATTTTTGTGTGTCACATGAAGTAATTTGTGCAAAACTGGACAACAGTGATATAATATCATTTAAACCGATGTTTAATCCATAGTTTGTTTTGTAATGAAGAAAAATATATAAATGTGAACCAACCGTACACGAAGAAACACCCTATGATATGTGTATGACATATTTCAATTTCTTATTATTTTGTGCATACATTCATTTATTTGTTCTCTGACGCCACGCTCAGCAGTATTCCAGCTATATGACGGCGGTCTGTAAATAATCGAGTCTGGACCAGACAATCCGGTGATCAACAACATGAGCATCGATCTACGTAATAGGGATACGATGACATGTGTCATCCAAGTCAGCGGGCCTGACCACCTGATCCCGTTAGTCTCCCTATTTTTACAAACATGGGTTGCTGAAGACCAATTCTAACCCGGATCTTCACGTTTTTGTGTGTGTAATATGTGGCATTTTGTAGAGACTTATATAGCGCTATTATTACATATTTCCATTAAAAACCTCTTTTTGTGTGTAGTGTAAGGACACTCGTATCGGATTTACATTTTCTTGAAATGACTGGTATATTTCAGAGAGCAAATACTTAAGACATAAGACCCAAGTCCAGACCAGCGCTGAATGTTCATTTTACAGTTCATATCACTTGAACATGTGGCAAACTCCAGGCACCAGGAATCGGACTCGAACTTGCACCAATCCATCCCCGAACGGTGGTGCTTTCTGTATCACTCACAAAGTTGTTATCAGTTCCTGCCCCGGTGTGTACTTTATATACTGTAACAGCAGCATTGACATATAAAGCATTGGAAGCTATTAGTGGTTTAGGTAGGTCAGAGGGAAAGTCTAAAGACTTTGAAGGGTCATAAAAAATGAAATTATATAATAACTGTTTCTACAGGAAGGGTTATATGCAGAGACGAGGGGCTGGTCATACAAAATATGTCGAGCATGAGGGGAGAGTACTATTTTTGTACATTAGTACATTAACAATCTACCAACCAACACTGCAATGAATAACCTGTCATGAAAATTTATATTATCGAATAGGATTCACTAAGGATTCTGTTTCTCAATTGCCTTCCAACACATTTAGAGTAAATTTAGGCTTGCCTCGTTTTTTAATCGTAGAATATGTGTGCTTTTAATTTATGGCTAGATTTCTCTTCTGTCGCCAATGGCTGAGGGATGGTGTAAATCCAACTAGGGTCCATGCAGGTAGCAAAAAATAATGTAAGTCCCCATGGTCCCTGGTATGGTGACCTACCTTCAGTTATTGGCGATTTATAGCCCACGTTTATACTGTATTGTTTTCCCCTATAGTTAAAACGTTTTAGATTTAATTACTAGTTTTACATACATATCTGTGATATTTTAGTTGTTTTACTGTCCTTCGTCGGCAGGTTCTTTATAATATACATATATTTCATTTCAATATCGGCTGAAATATTGCCGATGTGACGTTAAATATTAACTCACTCACTCACTCACTCAATTGCCAATTTAGTCGACGGTGGCGTGAGTGCTTGGGGCGCATGGATCACGACACTGTGCACGGTAACTTGTGGGCAGTTCGCCACCTCTACGGTATCCCGGACTCGAACCTGCACCAATCCGCCTCCGGCTCACGGTGGGAAGGATTGCTCTGAGAATCTTATTGAAAGTAACCCCATAAGTTGCGGTCTCCCGAGTTGTACAGGTATACATGTCATAGCTCGACGTTTTCACATATCTCATATTGCTTAAAAGATATCTATTTATTAAGTAATGTAATTTCAACAAAATCATTTTAACGCTTCATATATATGTCATAGCAACGCTGCATCACGTTTGTAAACATTACATTGTGACGTTATTTTAAAGTTACGTCACAGTACACTCTGGACCTGTAGTTACTCCCTGAAGATACAATTAAAATGCATTGAAGGGAAATTCATGTTGTGTCATTATTTTGAGGATTTCTATATATGATATAACATATAAAGCGTTAATTTTGCTGAATATATATAATTTATATTTTCCCTTCACCTGTGGCTGCAATTCAATTTCCAATAGCCATTGTTTGTATTTCAGTACATTTCGGTGACTGTACTGACGCTGATGACTGTGCTGCTAACGATACCGATTGTAATGAAGGGAAGTGTACGTGTGACCTAATGCACGAGTACTCGAGCGGCAACTGTGTCCAAGGTGAGTTGTGAAACGTGCAATGCCCAATTACAATATACTTCTTGGGCTGTAGCCTAATGATTAAGGCGTTTGCTCGTCACACCGAAGACCCGGGTTCGATTCCTCACATGGGCACAATGTGTGAGACCAATTTCTCGTTTCATCCGTCGTGATATTGCTGGAATATTGCTAAAAGTGGCGTAAAACTAAACTCACTCACTCACTATCAACAATTTCCTTCTCAATTATCAATGGATGGGCATTCTTCAAGGACACCTATTCTGAAATGTAGTTAATATATACTCAACAAAATTACAAACCTGACATTCCCATGATTGGTAATACTTGAGAGGGGTGTGTGGTGTGGTGGTTCCTTGTTAGTTTCGTAATGTTCCATACGCACGGCAATGACATGGAGGCTACTTGAACGTGGCGACGTGAAGAATCTGGTCATGGAGCGTGAAAAAGCGTGAAAAGCACTCAGGTGCAGCTAGTCAGGTAATCACCTTAGAGATCGAAGGTGCCTTATACTGTAAACACAGAAATTACTTAACAGGAAAATGCATCAACATTGCAAGTTAAAGAAAAGAGGAGAGTATGCCGCGACTCACAAATCAGCAACGTGAGCGTGTCGTAGGTGGACTTAATACTGGACAATTGAGTTGCGTGAACCATGGCCCGTAGTCGTCAGACGAGACCTAGTTTAAATTCACGTGTGCCAGATATCCGGCTAGTCTCATGAGTCTGATAATGGTCTGTCTTATACAGCCTAACGTTCTGGCAATATGGCTGTTCGAATTTCATCTGTCACACTCCAGTAGCTCGTTCTCGGTCCGCTTCTGATACTCTTGGCATTTGATGTGTACCTTTAACAGTTATACCACTAACAATCTCAGTCGACTGTGTTTTATACTCTTGGCGCAAAACACGCACGTGGGATTCAACAACAAAGTCATTATGTTCATGACCTCCCGTGGACAACGCTGCCAAAGGATATCTGTGGAGTAAACAATGTGTGTGACTCAGGATTTACGCACAAAATATTTTAATACGAATACTGACATCGGCAGAGGCTGTAGTGTTGAAATATTTAATTGCTGACTACCTATCCAGGTGAGATACAGCTTCATGGCATTCTTCCTTATTCGACGTGGAACCTAGGGTCGTGAATATATACAGAAATGTATGCGAGTTCTTTACAATTGAAAGAAATAGACAGACACCAGTCATTAGCATACATTGGGTGTAGTATCTACTATTCAAGCTCTGGAGCTTTGATTAAAAAGTACCCTTGAAGGTCCGGGTTAGAATATTGCCCTTCAGTAACCCATGCTTGTCGTAAGAGGCGACTAACGGGATCGGGTGGTCAGGCTCGCTGAATTTGTTAACACATGTCATCGGTTCCCAGTTGCGCAGATCGATGCTCATGCTGTTGATATACTGGATTATCTGGTCCAGACTCGATGATTTACAGACCGCTGCCATATAGCTGTAATATTGCTGAGTGCGGCGTAAAACTAAACTCACTCACTCACTCACTCAATCACTCATTAAAAATGTTTCGATAGATTAATAAATGAGGATGTTCAATATTTATTGGAAGATTTTTTCGACGTCTGGTATTAGACACGGTTGCATGCTAAGTCCGGTTTTGTTTATTTTATTCATTAATGAATTAATATCAGAATTTACACAGAGTGGTTTAAGGGGTATATTTCTTCATGAGGTCCATGCAGGTAGCAAAAGTAATGTAAGTCCCCATGGTTCCTAGTATGGTGATCTACCTTCGGTTGTTGGCAATCTATAGCCCGTGTTTTATACTGTATTGTCTTCTTTAATTTGAATGTTTAGCTTTGCTTGCTAGTTTTACATTCATATCTGTGATTCTCTAGCTGTAACTGTACTGTCCATCGTCGACAGGTTTTAATCTTCCAAAAGTTTTCAGTTTTTATTGTATAAATTGTTTTCGTCACGATATGGCTGAGATATTGCCGATGTGACGTTAAATATTAACTCACTCACTCACTCTTTGTTCATGACCAGTTAGAGGAACTTTAACTATTGTTGTTTGCAGATGATCTTGCTTTGATTGATGACACAGTTATAGGTTTCAAAAAAATTAGATCTTTTTAAAATTACTGCTGCAACTGAGGATTGAAAGTAAATTTGGACAAGACTAATGTAATTGTATTTAGAAATGGTGGAATTCTAAGGATTTTGGAAAGATGGTCCTATGCTGGAGTTGAACTAAAATGTGTTACATATTATAAGTATCTTGGACTAGTATTGTCTTCCAGATTAGTTTCCAGAAAGGCGTGTGACACTTTAACTATTCAAGCTAGAAAAGCAAGCTTTCCAGTTCATAAGTTACTGAAATCGTTTTCAACGCTACCTGTTCATAATGGCCAAAGTATGTTTTAGTCTAAAATAAGGCCTATTTATTATATGGTTCGGAGATTTTGGGATATACCTTTAGGTCGTTGATAGAAAAGGCACAGAGTGACGTTTTTAACAGGTGTCTTTGTGTTTCAAGGCGTACTTCTAGTGATGCCATTTTAGGAGATGTAGGTAGAAGTTATTCATGTGGCATTCCAAGATTTCAACGTCATCCTTTTGAAAAATTATGGTAATCTTAAAACTATTTTGGGAGTTGAGAAGTATGTATTAGAGATGATTCAGTCAAAGGATCTCTAAAGGGTATACTGTAAATTTCGTTGTGCATCGCATAAATTAAATGTTCAGTTACTACGTTTTAAACGTTTGAAAGATCATAACCAACTGTTATGTCCTCATTATAGGATCTATTGAAGATTAATTTCCTTAAAGTGTCCCTCTGTTATGTCCTCATTATAAGACATGTAGAGAACTGTTTATACCACCATATTATTATAACATTCTCCAATGATAAACTTGTCTGTATATCACTGTTACTCAAAAGAAATACATCATGTTAAGTAGTCTTGCATTGTATAGCAATATATCTTGAGCACTGTATGATTTTTATATCTTACCACTATGGGCCATGAGGCCTAATTTGCAAAAATGACTTGTCACTTGTCAATACATAGATGTCTACTTAATACTTCATAAAAAACAAAAGGTAGGGATCGTCTCAAAAACAAAACCGGGACGTAAAGGAATGTTAGACAGAAGTAGTGGTGGAATTCGGAAATTGAAAATAAACAGTTACTGATTCCTGGACTACAATGACTATAACTCTTTACGAGATGGGATTTCGAAAAGAGGTGGACGTGGCGGTATCCACACCGTTTTATATTCTATGATGTCAAACTATATCAGTATCATTCGTGACAATTGCAAGCAGGGCTACTTGATTGTTGACATGTTGTTTTCGAGTCGAAAAGAATACAGGAGATCATCATGAAGGAACGGGTGGTGATATTGTCAAAGCCTGGCTGGAACATTAGCAACTATCCAATCTATTAACTAAACCACCAAAGTGTCAATGTCATGGATAATGCCAGTGTCTTGTCGGCCTGGAACCATATGCTGCTGGAGCCAGGTGACACCCAGAGGCGATAATACAGGAATCTTCCAGTGTCGAATCAAGACTATTTGAAACTGAAGTTCTACTCATGGAGAAACGTCGCCTGTTCAGATGTCCCGGAGACACAACATGGACCCTTTCAACTGCATAGTTCACTTGTGACCTCAAACCTATTGAGCTTATCCGTGGCAGGATAACACAACATTCAAATTCATACCATTCAAAGGGTGGATCAACGTTGTTGGAATCAGATGCTATGGCTAAAGGCTAAACGTTCTTAAAATATAACGTCAGTTCCACCAATGTCATGACCTAGATATCAGCCTTGTTGCAGCAGTTATAGTAATGGGTTTCGATCCACAATACGTTCGTAGCGCTACAACATTCGTAAGCCTATCATAAACTAAAGTGTTACGACAGGTCGTAACTACGTTTGTAACGAACTGGCTTATAACGAAATGACGGATATAACGTACTCGTTTTGGTCAAGAACATTTGCTATACATGTAGATTGATATGCGTATGACGAACTATGGTTATTAAAAATAAAATGCGTGGTACCTCTCAGTTCGTTTTACCGTAGCTTACTAAAGCAGGTCAGTATGGTGTGGTCCTTGTGTAGATGCTTCTCTAGTGTCGGTGGGGTAGCCTAATGGTTAAAGCGTTGGCTCGTCACGCCGAAGACCCGGATTCGAATCCCCACATGGGTACACCGTGTGAAGCCCATTTCTGGTGTGCCCCGCCGTGATGTTGCTGGAATATTGCTAAAAGCGTCGTAAAACCAAACTCAGTCAGTCAGTCAGTCAGTAGATGCTTCTCACCACAATGTCATACACCTAAATACTGGAGCGGAGAAAAATTCCAGCATTTAACATGTACTACCTCCTCAGCAAACGTCAGATGAGATTTCATGTGATTTTGATAAATTGTCCTGAATGTTTAAGACGTAAATGCAGTTTTGGTCATCACAAAATCTGAGAATTATGGGTACTAAGTACTAATTGAGATACATAATAATGGCAGTCATTATTTTCAGAATATATTTTCTTTCAGGGTGTTCGACATATGGACCGGACTTCACTCTATTCAAAAATAAAGTCTTGAATGGGTACAACAACAGAATCATCTACAACGTAACTACAATAGAGGCATGTATGTCGTTATGTTTTGCAGAAAAAGATTTCCTGTGTATTACAGCAGATTATAAACATGCAACGGTAGGTTCCTGCTTCCTGAGTAGATCAGCTCTATATGCGGTCCCAGCAAATGCTGTTGCGAACTCTCAGACATACCATCAAGTTGTCCGTAATTGTGCTTAGGATCCTGTCGCTCCGTAGTTCCATGCAACATTGGTTTAAACAAATATTGAACCTTTCCATATGATTTTATGTTTACAATACGTTGGCTTACGAATATACTTAAAAACATTAGGAATAAGTCTTATCTTGTTTCGATCCATCACACACGGTGGGCTGGCGCTCAGTTTACTTGCCAAGTGTGAATTGGTTAGTTTGCAATGTATTGAAATTTACGTTTTGAATAGCTCTTTCAAAATATTTGATTGATAGCTTCATCGTGTATGTTGCTTGTTAATGCTTGTCACAGATGATAAACCCATGAAGACCCTGGAAAGAATTGACCTTCAGGGACCCTATCCACAAAGCGTTCGTAGCACTACGACATACGTAAGCCTATTTTAAACTATGGATTTACGACAGGTCGTAAAGTTACGAGCGCTTTGTGAATCAGGGCCCAGGAACCCATACTTGTCGTGAGATGCGACTAACTTGCGCGGTGATCAGGCCCGCTGACTTGGTTGACACATGTCATCGCATCCAAATTAGATCGATGCTCATGATTTCCATCACTGGTTTGTCAGGTCCAGACACGAGTATTCACAAGAAATACATTGATAATGAAAATGATAAAGTGACAGGTGAGCTATGTTTTACATCCCTCACAGCAACGGGATTACACACCGTACACATGACCCAGAGGAAGCAATAGGTTCACAGGATATGGTGACATGAATGGTATCTGGGAACGTAGTTGTATGGAATATTTGTATACTTTTGTGAAATCAAACACCACGAATTAGAAATAATAATACAACATATGTTGTATTTAGGATTACACCTTCTCAGTAACTTACGGATTCTACTACCTTTAATTGTTGAGTTCTTTCCGGAACTTAGGCTCTCCGAGTGATGCGCGTTATCGCTGGCACACAAAGTCAGTTATGTGGCCAACACAGTCACTCCGAGTGATGCAGTTTATCGCTGGCACACAAAGTGAGCTATGTAGCCCACACAGTCACTCCGAGAGATGCAGTTTATCGCTGGCACACAAAGTGAGCTATGTAGTCTACACAGTCACTCCGAGAGATGCACTTTATCGCTGGCACACAAAGTGAGCTATGTGGCCAACACAGTCATTCCGAGAGATGCAGTTTATCGCTGGCACACAAAGTGAGCTATGTGGCCAACACAGTCACTCCGAGTGATGCAGTTTATCCCTGGCACACAAAGTGAGCTATGTGGCCAACACAGTCACTCAGAGTGATGCAGTTTATCGCTGGCACACAAAGTGAGCTATGTGGCCAACACAGTCACTCAGAGTGATGCAGTTTATCGCTGGCACACAAAGTGAGCTATGTAGTCTACACAGTCACTCCGAGTGATGCACTTTATCCCTGGCACACAAAGTGAGCTATGTGGCCCACACAGTCACTCGGAGAGATGCACTTTACCGCTGGCACACAAAGTGAGCTATGTAGTCTACACAGTCACTCCGAGTGATGCAGTTAATCGCTGGCACACAAAGTGAGCTATGTAGTCTACACAGTCACTCCGAGTGATGCCGTTTTTTCCCAGGCACACAAAGTGAGATGTGTAGCCCACACAGTCACTCCGAGTGATGCAGTTTATCGCTGGCACACAAAGTGAGCTATGTAGTCTACACAGTCACTCCGAGTGATGCACTTTATCCCTGGCACACAAAGTGAGCTATGTGGCCCACACAGTCACTCGGAGAGATGCACTTTACCGCTGGCACACAAAGTGAGCTATGTAGTCTACACAGTCACTCCGAGTGATGCAGTTTATCGCTGGCACACAAAGTGAGCTATGTAGTCTACACAGTCACTCCGAGTGATGCCGTTTTTTCCCTGGCACACAAAGTGAGATGTGTAGCCCACACAGTCACTCCGAGTGATGCAGTTTATCGCTGGCACACAAAGTGAGCTATGTAGTCTACACAGTCACTCCGAGAGATGCAGTTTATCGCTGGCACACAAAGTGAGCTATGTAGTCTACACAGTCACTCCGAGTGATGCAGTTCATCGCTGGCACACAAAGTGAGCTATGTAGTCTACACAGTCACTCCGAGAGATGCAGTTTATCGCTGGCACACAAAGTGAGCTATGTAGTCTACACAGTCACCCGAGAGTGATGCAGTTTATCCCTGGCACACAAAGTGAGCTATGTAGTCTACACAGTCACCCGAGTGATGCAGATTATCGCTGGCACACAAAGTGAGCTATGTAGTCTACACAGTCACTCCGAGTGATGCAGTTTATCCCTGGCACACAAAGTGAGCTATGTAGTCTACACAGTCACTCCGAGTGATGCAGTTTATCGCTGGCACACAAAGTGAGCTATGCAGTCTACACAGTCACTCCGAGAGATGCAGTTTATCCCTGGCACACAACGTGAGCTATGTAGTCTACACAGTCACTCCGAGTGATGCAGATTATCGCTGGCACACAAAGTGAGCTATGTGGCCCACACAGTCACTGTGGCTTCCCCAAAATGGATGTCTGTCATCTGGTAGTCTAGATCACATAACTCTGACAAGTGCAAACTGTACTCAAAGAAAATATCCTCATTATAATAAGCTTGTTTGAGAGCTCTTGGAGACGTACAATATAGAACAAACTTTATGGATAACGACTTTTTTATTTCGTGAGTGCGACGTTGTAAAGGCTGTCCCTACAACAGTACTACTATTACTTTACCCTCGTAAAACTTCACATAGAAAATCGAAACAAAATTATGATAGTGTTTGTTGAGAAACTTTTTATTTTGGAGACAAACCTTATGCAACTTTTTTCAGATTTGTTCTGATGTTTTCATTACATTCTGCGTTCAATGAATGTTTGATCATGAACCGATTTTGAGATTGTGATTCATCGGTATCATTTTGACCCAAACAGACTGTACACTGTCCCTGATTATCTCCATTAGCTGGCATTATAGACCCATGCCGGTATACTGTATTCCCCTTGCAATGCTGTACATCGTAGCTTATTCTTGTTGGCGATCTATAGCCAGTTTTTATATTGTATTGTCCAAATAGTGCTTTTAGTTTTAATTTTCCACACTAGTTTTAGTTGTAATTGTGATATTCTAGTTGTTTTACTGTCCTTTGTCGACAGGTTTTTAAAATACACATCTATTCCATTTCAATGTCACATATGTTCTCTTCACGATATGGCGTAATTATTGCCGATGTGACGTTAAATAATAACTCACTTACTCACTCGTCGCTTATTCAAGCAACAATAAGGTTGGGACCCCGTCCTTCAAAATGAACGAGACGGGCCACAACTCTCTTATAACTTCCAGTACATGTCTTTCTCGTTGTTTTCATACAAAATATCCCACTTTTCTTGCAAAGATGACCCTCAGGAAAAGGTAGAAATAACATATGTATATATTTCGCCCATCTATAACCCTTTTAGACACATGAATTAAGTTGAAACCGAAACATTAATTGATTTAGAATATAGGTGTTTTCATAAAGCAGCCTGTGCTGTAAAATGTGTCGCCGCAAGCTCTATTTAATAAACGGATGCTGAAAAACTCTCTGGGTCACTTATTAAGTAGAAGTCGGTGTAATGAACAAGTGGGATACAACTTCTTTATATGCGACGCTTCGGTGTAGATGCTAACACCGTCATCAAGCAAGTGCTTGTTTGATAAAGGTATCCACATCAATGACGAATGACTCATCATCGGGTATTGTGACGTGTTTTTTTAAAGTTTGTGGTTCTGAATTCTAAGGTAGGTCGGACGTAGTCACGCGGAAGAGTACAGACAGTGTGACAACGGTGGAAGAGTATACATTGACACCTGGCTCGATATAACAAACCAGAAGTTGTTATCACTAAAACTGAAATTCTTTATGCTTTAGTTCTTTTGTATGTGTGTGATCCCCAAATGGGTACAATGAGTGAAGCCCATTTCTGGTGTCCCCCGCCGTGATATTGCTGGAATATTGCTAAAAGCGGCGTAAAACCAAACTCAGTCAGTCCGTTGTATGTGTGTGTAACTTATCATCAAACAAACTGTTGCATACTGACGTTAAGATTCAGATTCAGCTTTAATATGCATTTTATTGCTGTTAGTATTTATGTGTTTTTTCAAACTTCGCTTTTAGTAAATCACATGTTGAACACCATTATAAACACATTTCACATGACTATCCCAATTTTGTCTGAAAGGGAAGAAAATTGATGTTTCCATTACAATTGGTGGCTCAGTCACCTACGTGATGCCACGATTTAGTTTATTTTCATATATTACCTACCATTGTTATCAACACTACATTTTTATAGTTTTACTGTTCAGTAACTGTGCATAATGTACATGCTATGTCATTTAATGGTCATTTGTATTTCTTAATAACAACCAATTGCAACTTTAAACAGCTGAAGCTCACATAATTTGATTCCATTTACATTAGATTATTGGGTGCACTGCATCAATGTGTTTGTATAATTACTGAAGTACGTATGTTATGTATTGTTAGAACGTCGTCCTCCACATTCGATTTGACGGTGGCAATTTGAAAAACTAAACTTACTATTAAGCATGGATCAGATGCTTGATGGGCATTTAGAAGCATGGATGTTGTCATACTTGTTTTCTGAATAAAATCATTGTGCACACTATTACGCATGTGTCATATCTTCCAAGCTGACCACCTTCCTGGGCAAGTGGATACAGCATTTGAGCTTTAATGACTTAAACTAATTTTTAAAGGTACTTTTTGTTGCCCTGTCTGGCAGTCTACGTCATGGGTTTAAAACAAGGATAGATGGGCTCGGAGTCAGTATTATGTGTGTATGGTATCACTGTTCAATGGAGACATTTCGCCTTGACGTTGACGTTATATAAATATCCCAACAATCATTACAGTTAATATGCTATTTTATGTTGTCATGTAAATGTGCGACACTTTAAACAGCTCTGTCTCGACCATGCGTCATTCTGAAGCAGCAGAGGATCGACCTTGTGGTATTCGAGGAAAGGTAAGGAGTGAGTGAGTGAGTTTAGTTTTACGCCGCACTCAGCAATATTACAGCTATATGGCGGCGGTCTGTAATTAATCCAGTCTGGAACAGACAATCCAGTGATCAACAGCATGAACATCGATCAACGCACTTGGGATACGATGACATGTGTCAACCCAGTCAGCGAGCCTGACCACCCGATTCCATTAGTCGCCTCTTAAGACAAGCATGGGTTACTGAAGATCAATTCTAACCCGGACCTTCACGGGTCGCAAGCAATATTAAATCTGCATAAGTATGTATTAGTTCAAGAAGTCACATACACGAACCCACGCACGCATGTACGCGTAATAATTGTGACATCGGGATGGAGCGGTTTTGTATGAATCAATTGTGTTCCTAGATACCACGATGTGTCTAAACAATATATTCGCTGGTTAGTGTTGCGTCCCTTTTGCGTACCTGGAATCTGTGATTGTGCCTTTGTAGTTGATCAGTTTACCCGTCATCGAGGTAAACGTCTACAAACTGGA